ATCTATCTATCTATCTATCTATCTATCTATCTATACACACACACACACACACACACACACACACACACACACACATATATATATATATATATATATATATATATATATATATATATATATATGTATGTATTTATATACATTTGAACAATAACCTTTCTTTCAAACTTGTTTCATTGAATATTATTGACAAGGAAATTTTAATTACTTTTTTAATTATTTTTCCAACATTCCTACACATTTTCGTTTAGTGTGAGTAAGAAAGTGCCAAAATTATCCGTATTGTTCATTGTCCCAAGGACTATCGCTCACTTCTCATTAGCCATAACCAAAGACACACCCATATATATATATATATATATATATATATATATATATATATATATATATATATATATATATATATATATAGTTTCTCTGTCACTGATATTGAGCGCTTTCAAATAAGTAAATTGCATATTGCATATAGATATTTATATTTATACACATACATGTTTCATATATATATATATATATATATATATATATAGATAGATAGATAGATAGATAGATAGTGAGTGAGAGAGAGAGAGAGAGAGAAAAGGGAAAAATGGCAAAGCTATACATGACGAGTTTTTCTGAACGTTTGTTAGTTTACGATACTTAAGTTCACCATGTAAAATAACTGTGTATAAGAAAACAACACCTATCTAAAAAAAAAACAATCAAAAATGAAATAAGTGATATATTGATCACGAAAGAAATATATAGAGACAGGGCAGTAACAGGAATTTACAAAAAGAAGTGCTCAAAGTACAAATATCGCCCCCAACTCCCACCAAAAAAAAAAAAAATAAATAAATAAGCAAAAGGACTCTGAACAATGCCACACAAACACAAAGAACCCAGTTCATGAGTCTTGCAGAGATATGCCGCATAACTGTAAACGCTCTGCTGGTTCACCGTAATACATCTGGCCACGTTTTCGAATTAATAAATACCTATCTGACCAAAAGAGAAACGGATTTACTAAAAAGAAAATGCATTGTGAGTGCACTCATCTCTCAATTTTCGACCATAAACCTAAGAAAGGTACAATACATAAGCAGGAGTAACACAATAGAGAAATATGACAGAGATCTCTGAGTGGGCGGATTTAAAATCCAGTAGACACCAACGGCTCTTTCCTCCTCACTCACTCACTCACTCCTCTCTCTCTCTCTCTCTCTCTCTCTCTCTCTCTCTCTCTCTCTCTCTCTATATATATATATATATATATATATATATATATATATATATATATATATATATGTATATTGGGCACCATTTGTGAAAAATGACCACCACGACGAAATTCACTCCTTAGAAGTTTAGAAATGGCATGTTATACTGCTTGGCATTCGCACCGGAAACTCTAATACGAATATTTCAGAGTGTTTGGTTGTTAATCTAAGGACAGTGCAGATGAATTCGGAAAGAGTTGGATGAGTCCAATGGCGATTAGGAACGTATTGCTGCTCGGAAAACTCTGATCGTTCTGATAAAAAAAAAGAGCTCCAGGATTTATTTGTGAGTGTCTCAGGCTCAACACGGAAGTCTACATCAAGTGTCTTGAGGAGGTTGGTGCTGTCCTGAGTCAAAGAGGTCTGGAAGACCCTTTATCTGGCAACAGGACTCTGCACTATGCTACACAAGCACAGAGAATACAATCGCGGCAATCAGACACCCCTTACATCTGGTCACCTAACTTCTCAGATTGCAACCCCCTTGATTATTATGTATGGGGCGCATTTAAACGAGAGATCAAACAACTTGTAACATCAAAAATGATCTGGCAGCATTCACTAACACAATGAAGGAGCTACGGGGGATTCCGAAGTCGTCTTGAGGCCGTGGTTGGAGCGAATACACACACACACACACACACACACACACACACACACACACACACACACACACACATATATATATATATATATATATATATATATATATATATATTTATATACATTACTGTTCGATATAAGTGACTCACCTGATTTTTTGGTACTATATGTTCTCTTGCTAAACTGCTTTCTCGAGAGCCTGTACTTTATAATGCTCCATAAGTTTTCTATGGGGTTGAGATTGGGGTGGCCATGTAATAACACTCAGCGGCTTCTCATCAAAGTATTCCTTCATCAATTTTGATTTATGACAGGGAGCATTATTCTGCATAAAAATGAGCTTGGTGGGAGTCGATTTGCCCCCTTTCAGCAGAAGGGTGCAGACAAGACTCTAATATTCTATTGTACTGTTCGCTTCAGAGGGTCTTTTCAATAGGTTTTAAGAAACCAGTTCCATGAAAAGAAAAGCATCCCCAGAACATTATACTGAATAGATGCTTGACAGTTATTACTGCTAAATTCAAAGAGCTTTCAAAGCTTCTTCGGATTTTAGATCGCTTATCCTTTAAATTTAGCTCAACTTCCGTTTCATCGGAGAAGAGAACATTTAGTAAAAGTAATCAGGTGAGTCACTTTTATCGAACAGCACTGTATATCTGTTAAAATGAATTGACAATATTATTTTCCTTTTTGCATCATTTAGCCGACAATTTATCCATCGCACCCTATATATGGTCAGATGTAACAGCATGTTCTATGCTAGCAGTTTCTTCTATTACAATTCTCTCATAAATTTCTTTCTTCTTCTGGGTCAGACAATTCACAAACTTAATGAAGGAGACTGTCCAGAAAGGATACTGGAGATTCTGATGTCGTCTGGAGGCAATTATGGCAATTTTATTGAATAAATTTACTCTTTAGTATTTCAGAATATTTTTGTGCTATTTTAGTCAATATATCTGTTAAAATAGGATGTCAGTTTTAAGTTCATTTCTGCGTCATGTAGACGACAATTTATTCATCGCAACCTTTATCTGTTTTGATGTATTCTTCATTATTACTATTTTCCTTTTCCAAGTTTTATTCGGTAACATGAAGCGCTACAGCAGCTCGGAAAAAATAAGAAAAAAATCTTCCGTAATTGTTAATGAGAGCCTCAGACTAAACACGGAGGCATACAGGAAGTACCTTGAGGTGGTAGTGGGTCAAGGGGGTGACTGCTGGAAGACCCTATGTCGAACAACAGGACTCTGAACAATGCCACACAAACAGAAGAACCTAGGCATGGCTGACAAACAATTTCTGCGACCAAATCACCACTTATATCTTGGCACCTAACTCCCCAGAGTGCAGCCCCCTTGATTATTATGTGTGGGGTACAGTTGAGTGATAGACCAATAAAAATTCTTGTAGCACCAAAGATGAGCTGAAAGTAACGATTATGGCAGCATTCGCAAGCTTAAATAAGGAAATCGTCCAGAGTAGATGCAGATTTTGAAGTCATCTGGAGGGCGTGGTTGAAGCGAATGGCAATTTTATTGAATAAATTTACTTTTCAATATTTCAAGATATTTTTGTGTAATTTTGGTAAATATATTTATTCATTTAGACCACAATTTGTCCATCGCACCCTGTACATCTGTTAAAACGAGATATCAGTGTTATTTTCATTTTTTGCATCATTTAGACGACAATTTATCCATCGCACCCTTGATATGGTTAGATGTAACAGCATGTTCTATGTTAACAGTTATTACAATTCTCACATATTTTTTTTTTCTTCTTCGGGGTCAGACAATTCGCCAACTTAAACAAGGCAACCGTCCAGAATGGTTGCAAGATATTCCGAAGTTGTCTGGAGGCTGTGGTTGAAGCCAATAGCGATTTTATTGAGTACATTTACTCTTTAGTATTTCAAGATTTTTTTGTGTTATTTTGTGCAATATATATCTGTTAAAATGGGATGTCAGAGTTAATTTCATTTTTTTGCGTCATTTAGACGACAATTTATCCATCGCAATTTGTATCAGTTTTGATGTAGTCATTATTACTATTTTTCTAATACGAGTTTTATTCGGTAATATGAAGTACTGCCGTCATATCTGCGCAGGAGCTGCCCAGTCCACACGTTCAAAAGCGTCTCCATATCCTTGTGGGTGACAAATTATTTTCTATCCTACAACATCTGTCTCACAGACGAAACATCCCAAGTCTCTCACTGTTCCATCGCTACTTCCATGGAAATTGCTCACACTAACTACATTCTTTAGCCATCTGACTGCCCAGAATTCAGCCCGTTGATTTATTATGTGTAGAGCGCATTTGAGCAACAGACAAACAAAATACCAAAATCTGAAGACAAGAATTATGGCAGCATTCGCCAACTTAAAAAAAAAAAGGAAACCGTCTAGAAGAGGTACTGGAGATTGCGAAGTTGTCTGGAGGCCGGGAATGAAGCCAATGGCTATTTTATTAAATATATTTACTCTTTAGCATTTCAAGATATTTTTTTGTGTTGTTTTGGTGAATATATCTGTTAAAATGGGATGTCAGTATTCAGTTCTTTTTTTTTGCGTCATTTAGACGACAATTTACACATCGCACCTCCCCCCCTCTCTCTCCCCCCTCTCTCTCTCTGTGAGAGAGAGTGAGTGTAATGATCGAGGACGAATTCACTTGAGAAATGGTTCCACAGAGTAGCGGTTTTCTAGGAGGAAGCTGCACGAATGGACTACAAAGATGGTTCGCTAGAATGCGCGTGGAATTTCCCAGAACTGCCAACTTACGTTCTTGTTGATAGAAAGTCCGTTTTTGGAATCTGAATTACGAAAGAAAATTATCAAGTATATATAGTGGATTATCAAGTTGACAGGTTTATGATCGTTTTCAATAATATCAAGTGTTAAATCCCTGGGAGATAAATACATATATATAATATCTGAGAAAATTATGGGAAACTTTTAATGAATTACAATGATAAATTATATCTATCTGCTTAGCTATGTGCGAAATAAACATGTTTGACGTAAGGTAAGATTATCGGAGCATAGGTAATTATTAAATTTACAATACAAGATAAATAGATTGCCACATGATTTTGATAAGGTTCGGAATACAGTAGCTATTTCTCAAATAAAGATTTTTATCTCAGACACGTCATATTTGTCTATCTCAGTTTCATACGGTTCATGTCTATTTAAGTATCTATCTATCTATCTATCTATCTACTTAACAATGTGCCTATTTATCCCTTTTACCCTCTTCATATGTATTTCAGTATATCTATCAATTTCTCTTTCTCTCTCTCTCTCTCTCTCTATATATATATATATATATATATATATATATATATATATATATATATATATATATATTTATATATATATATATATATATATATATATATATATATTCATACACGTTTCATTAAATAATATAGACAAATGTTGTCTATTTATTTTATGTAAATTTTTTTCGTAACGTCTGATAAGATTAATAACATTATCGTTGAACGAAGAAAGAAATTCACAATATTGATCCATATTTTTTAATACAATCTAAGCTTTCGGCTTACTTAAGCCATTATCAAAGATGTCAATTACAACATATTAAGCAATATACGGACAAGACATTGATGATAGTCTGTCATTGTTTACATAGATGGTTTTCTAAGCAACGATAAACACGTGCATATAAGACGCTAGAAGCGAAAATCGCACCGCATCTCATGACGTCACACATGACCACACGAGAGTGATTTGGAGAAGTATGAAGTATGGAAAGCCGTTGTTATAAACCAATGGCTTCTGTTACCAATTATAGACATTTAAGAATATTTGTAGAGATGCCATAATTGATTTTGTTTAGGTTGGGTTTCAACTGTTTGATGTATAATGCTTCAAAGATTTTTAGTTTTTGTCTATTGTTTTCATGTCGAAGTATAATTGTGTTTTTGACAAGTATTTTACGGAATTGTGTGTGCGGGCAGGCATGTTGTTTTAAATGCCTAAAAATGTTAGAGTTTTCATTCAAATGTAGTGTCAAGCGTCGTGAAAGATGCTGCCTAAATACACACAATATATATATATATATATATATATATATATATATATATATATATATATAGAGAGAGAGAGAGAGAGAGAGAGAGAAAGATAGATAGATAGATAGATAGATAGATAGATAGATAAAAGAACGAAGAGTAAGTTTTCAGCGTTCAAAACGTTAATTTAAAACAACAAGTACAGCCGTAAATATTTATTTATTATGCAGTGTTACGTTAGAACATGCACATATCCACTACAAAACTGTACATCTTGTTTCAACGTTAAATATTTTAAACGTTTCATCAGGTCGGAAATCACGAAAATATTTTATTGGCATTTCCCACCTGATAAAACTTGAAAAAAAAATTAAACGCTGAAACAAGATGTACAGTTTTGTAGTGGTTATATGCATGTTCTAATGTAACACTGCATATATTATTAAATGAACTAAGTTTAACAATTATTTAATATAGTTTTTGTTTAGACGCCATTTTTATCGATACAAATATTTAAGTAAATGCTTTGTTTATAAGAAACAGGATAAAAAAAAAACATTTACTCACCTGAATGTCCGAGAAATCTCAAACAAAATATGTGTACTCTGACCGGAATCGAACCTGCAATCTACGTGGAATTGCTATATAGCCTGATGTGCTATACCATTTAGTGACAGAGGAAGTGTCTGGTTTGTTATAAACAACATTTTACTTAAATATTTGTATCTCGTTCCATTTAGAGATGTAACGTAATAGCGATAGATACGTCGGCACCCGCTCGCATCCGATCACCGGGATAGTTATTCTCTCTCTTTATTCATTTTCTCTCCCACCCCCGCTGGTGGTGGTGGTGGCAGATTTGATTGCTAAGGGCCAACTTACTCCTGAAGCATTTTGCATTCTCAGTGATACAGTGATATTTGTTTTTACAATAATGTTCATCCTGTACAATGCTCAATGTAGAGTGTTACAGAGTAAGAGGCACAGTTCATGTGGATAAGTGTGGAAGATAACGGCTAACCCTTGACCAGCCATGGGCAAACTGCGGCCGGCTGGTTCCTAGGACCCGTTAGCTCTTTCTGAAAGGCACGCTTAATGTCATAAGCAAAAAATGTTGTTTTATTTCGTTCTCACTTGTTCACTCACACATTCTCTCATACATAAAAAATGATTAAGTAAAATCTTTTTTGAATTTTGTAAACTTTCCGGGAAACTAACGGTGCTGGCATTTTTAAACCATTGGCGATTTTCACTAAGGAAGATCATAGGTGTAAACATCTTTTGCTTTTGAACCAGGAAATGTTCATAAGAATTTTTTCCTCTAAAGAAGAAATGTTTTCATTTTCAAATGAATAAATTAGACATAATTCCCACACAGTGACATGTGATAATCACACTGTCATCAGTGAGAATATTATGCCAAGACTTCAATTTTTTAATTATAAAATATATTTTCTAAAAAATAAAAAAAAAATCCCTCAATTTTAAGGTATATCTTTACGCATATGGTCTTCTGTAGTGAAGATAACGCTGTGGTACCTACTACGAAAGTAATTACTATTACCTTGTATCTTTTATCATTGCAGACCGCTTTGTAGTGAGCCATAAATCATGCGGCCCACTGCTCGAAAAAAATTGGCCATTCCTGCCTTAGACTTTAACATTATAGTGATCGGGGAAGCATCATCTTGGGAGTCAGTTCCACAAAGCAGCGGTTCGTGGGAAGAAACTGCTCGAGAGGAATTTACATCTCACCTACGGAATAGGAAAAGAACAAGGGTGGTTCGCTGCAATGTTTATAGCATGGTGGGTCTTAGCTGTGGTGGTTAGAAATTGTAGAACTAAGGAATGTAGTTCGTTTTTGAGAAAGATGTTGGAGGTAGAAATAACTCATCATTCACAAGGACGCGGAGGTGATTTTGAACTCTATCAAAATTGGCAAGTTAAGCCTAGACAATTTTTGTCCATATATGCCAACAGTAATCCCGTTTTCATCTGAAAGAGCTCTTGTAAAGGTAAAGAATAGCAGGAGGAGTCAGTTACTTACACGAGCAATACAGAGAACCAACCCTTTTTAAGGTAGATAAAAATATTGTCCACATCTTTGTCGCCATATTTATTATAACGTTTCGGCCTTTCAGTATCTGTCTATATTTCTGAGATGAGGTATTTACTATTTACATTATTCGGACTATTGTCCTCATCTTTGTCGTCATATTTATTACAACGTGAGCAAAATAAAGGGTTCAGTTCGACATTCCAACTACCTGAAGAAGGCTGGAAGGGTACAACGGCCGAAACGTTGTAATAAATATGGCGACAAAGATGAGGACACTAGTCCGAATAATAAATAGTGTACATAATACCTCATCTCAGAAATATAGAGAGATACTGAAGGGCCGAAACGCTGTAAGAAATATGGCGACAAAGATGAGGACAATAGTCCGAATAATGTAAATAGTGTACATAATACCTCATCTCAGAAATATAGATAGATACTGAAAGGCCGAAACGTTGTGATAAACATGGCGACAAAGATGAGGACAATAGTCCGAATAATGTAAATAGTGTACATAATACCTCATCTCAGAAATATAGACAGATACTGAGGGGCCGAAACGTTGTGATAAATATGGCGATAAAGATGAGGACAATAGTCCGAATAATGTAAATAGTGTACATAATACCTCATCTCAGAAATATAGACAGATACTGAGGGGCCGAAACGTTGTGATAAACATGGCGATAAAGATGAGGACAATAGTCCGAATAATGTAAATAGTGTACATAATACCTCATCTCAGAAATAAAGACAGATACTGAAAAATTGGTGTCATTGTTAAAAACCGCCTCCGTCTCACGTAAATTCATGTTTGCCTTGATATTAATCTGCTTTCTTCTCTAATCTAGAAATGGATTATACTTCTATTGCAATATTTTATATTGTACTCTTATAGAGTGAAAAGAAGAAAAAAAAACTATGGCGTATCTTACCTGAGCTGTAACCACATTTAAAAATATATGAGATGTTTAGGTTTGTCAAAACGATTGCTTGGATTTTGAACCCATCCGAAATGATAATTGATCTAGATCTTTACTATTACAATACAAAAGATTCAGAGATATCAATAAGTTTGTAGCCTAATGATAAAAACAAATTCAGTTTACCCAATTTCTTCTCAATGCATTTAATTTATCACATGGTTTAAACATAAAAGAGTGAAACATTCAGATCAAAATTTAGCTACAGCCCTTAAACTTCGCTAAGGAAAGATTTCATTATAATTTAATACATCCGATCTGACGAAGTTATTACTTCGTATCAAATTCAACGATTAACTAACTCTGGCTATGGATATATTGATTCCTCTTCGAGGTTTTTGACAGAAAATTTACACCTCGAATAAAAAAAGATAATATCTTGTATTTGTCTTCAGTATAAAACGTTTTCCTGATTGTTTCATTACCTGTATAGCAGATAGAAAATCTTTTTTCTATTTTAAAAACAATATAGTTTGCTTCCTAACTTTTTTTAACACTGAAAAAAAAATTTTTTTTTGAAATACAATAATCATTTTGAACGAAAACTCAAATACATTTCCTATTTCTTGTACTTTGAGACCAAAAAGTAGTATTTTTAGAGTACATATTTGATTTTATATTTTATAATCAGCATTTCATGTGACAGAATAGGTTCCGGAATTTAGAAGTAATAATTATTCTGTTAAAAAGAAAATTATATATTTGATTTTTATTATGGGCTACCATACTTACAAACACAAGCAATTCAGATTAGAAGTGTCAATACGAAACATTGCAGTGAATCAGTCTCAATCTGAGGGCAATTCAGAGGATTCGGAAAGAGTTGGAAGAGTCTAATGGTGATTACGAAGGTACAGCAGCTCAGAAAACTCACTGATTGTTCTGATAAGGATAAAAGCTTCTGAATTTGTTGAGTATAAGTTTTAAATGAGGTCCGAGTTGGGCTTAAGTCCCGATAGGCGAAAATCCAGTTCGGTTTTCGAGGCATTGAATGTGAACAGCCAGTTCATCCTCCACTGAGCTATTAACGCTGGGTGAGACGAGAGATCAGCAGTTAGGCTCTGGTCATCTAGAGTTTTGGAGTTGCAACCATATACCGTTGATCATCAGCATAAATATTCATAAATGATCGGAGTATACTCTTACGTAGTGAATCATGTAAAATAGAAAGAGGATTGGACCGGGAATTGGACACCTGGAGACGGCTATTTGATCGGTTGAGCCTAGGAGGACTACCTGTTTACAACTAGCTTCCCGTTCGCAAGGTGTTTATAGCTGAGAAGAATCTTCCAGTGATTTCGTAGCTACTAAGCAGTAACATTTTATGCCACACGTTGTCAAAAGGTCTTTGAAATATCTAATGCGATCGTCCTTGTGGTGTACATATTGTTTCGTGCCTCGTCGATTCTGTGAGTAATAGCAGTTAGGATATCAGCATTGGACCGAGATGATCGGAATTCGTACTACTCGTCGCTCAAGAGGTTATCCCTATTGAGGTGATGCTTATTGGTGATTATTGCTTTAATCTTTTGCAATGACTTATAATTGTTGATTAATTCAGGAGGAGCCTGAAACCAAACAAACATCCATACAGGAGCGACAAGAAACCTAGAAAACTAAACCTGTATCAATCCTGATGAGTGATAATGCCCTAAAAATGTTCCTTATCTTGAATGCCTACTGGGTATAAAGATCACTTCCAACCATAAATAAAAGGCGTATATTCGTGCTATCGCAAATGCAGGAAGAATGGCCCCTGACAATACATAACTGTATCGCTCCAGAAAATGCCTATGGCATGCTCTATCTTTACAAGTGATATACCAGACCAAAAATGGAGTATTGCAGCGATATCTTGCTTAGAGCTGTCCAGTCCTCACTATCAAGATTCTCAAGCAATTGCGCAGCCTTGTTGGTGATTAATTATATTCCACCATTTAAGCCTTATCCCACTGACGAAATGTGGCTAGCCTCTCACTACTTTATCACCATCTGGTGAGGTTACCTATCCAGAATGCGCTCGACTCCCACGTATCACCGTGTTTTGAGAACTTGCCAGAAGCAAGAGGTTACGTGGCACCGGCCAACAGAGAACCTGAGACCAGGGAAACAGTTGCTGTAGATCGGCCTTCCTGGCGTGAGACCATCCGAAGGAAGAGCGAACTTTTCCAACGGTCAACATTAAGAGGATCTGCGGCGTGCTGTCAGGAGTGCCCGACTCACCCAGTTTGGTCCACCACCCAAACTCCTCTGTGACTCCTGCTCACGTCGGCTGGGCCGTCACAGCCATCTCCGTCACCGCCACTAGAGGGGGAGAAAGAGAATAAGGATAGAAGATGATTATCCCGAAGCTCGGATGCGAGCAGGTGCCGACAACTCTATCGCTATTATCTTTGTCCCTGTAAATGGGAAGAGAGAGTCAGTCGTTCACTTCTGAACCGACTGTTCGGTTGAACTCTCTTCCTACGGACGGGAGGAACCCGAAGGAGGCAACGCCGAAGAGCGGAGTCTCCTTCGGGGAGGTAAAACCGGCCCTGAACCTGTTTATACGGGTTCAATGGGCATATTTTTGGCCGAGCCCACGGGCTCGGAATGCCCACGTTAAAAAGGCCTTGTGCCACATGACACCCTCGTTGTGACTCAATATCGGGAAGAGGATAAAACAAAGGAAGTAGTGGTTTCATGTGTTTCTGAACAGTATAAGTTAGTGCAAGTACTCTCAAGCGAAAATATGAACTCTTTTTTTTTTCGATTTCGTATTTTTGAAAAGATAACATTTGCATCGCTCAATTGGAAGAGGTTAGAACTGAGGGAGAAGTGGATTCATGTCTTTCCTAAGGGGAATATTACTTACTGAGTACAAACATCCACTGAAGAATTTCCAACTTGTCGATTCTATTTGTACTGATAAAATCTGCGCTACATAGCATCTCCCACTTTTCCCCACTGTGTGTTTATATATACTTACATACATACATACACACACACATATATATATATATATATATATATATATATATATATATATATATATATATATATATATATTTAATCGCATGGATATGTGTTCATAAATATAATAAAAATATATATAAGAACACCGTATTATATATCTTACTGTTCTTTCTTTCTTCATATATATATATATATATATATATATATATATATATATATATATATATATATATTAGTCGTATGGATATGTGTTCATATATATATATATTAAGTGGTATGGATATGAGTTTATATATATATATATATATATATATATACTGAATTCAAAATAAAAGGTTTAAAGGCATGCCCATATTTTAAAAGAAACACAAGTACAGATTTATTTATGTCCTCGCGTGATACAGAATTTGACACAAGGTACGTATCTGAATATTTGTCGACAAAAATGAGCAAGAAAGAGGTAAAAACAAGAGAAGGAAAGTAAAGAAATAGAGAAAAAAAAAGAAAAAAAGGCTAAATATTCGATCACCAGAAAGAGAGAGAGGGAGAGAGAGAGAGGAAGAGAAATAGAGAGAGTGGGGAGAGGGCGAGAGAGAGAGAGATGGTGAGAAGCAATGGAAGAGACAAACGCAGATTGAAATCAGAAAGAAGAGAACCGGGGGGTGAGAAACGGTGCGAGGAGGCAGCCAGGCAGGCAGGGAGGCTGGCTGGCTGGCTGGTTGGTTTGGCGGGGGCGGAGACAAGGTGAGAGAGACAGAGGCAGGTTGTCTTGGATTGTTTCGCTGTTCTTTACTTGTCTCTCAGAAGGGAATACAACCACTTAGAGAAATGATGCACTCAACGAATTGTCTTGATCCGTTAAACGCATCAGTGCGCACACATCGCCGCTGTCCTCAGCCCGACCGTGTTTTCCAGTTTTGCAGCCCGCTCCAAACCCGACCACCCACAGCTGACCCCTGCACACAAACTAAAAGGATTCGACTTGATTAAACAGAACATTGAGGACTCCAGCTTTCGAACGGTCAGTTTCCCCCGTGGAGCAATATATATATATATATATATATATATATATATATATATATATATATATATATATATATATATATATATTAGGTTGAGTCATAAGTAATTTCCGTTTTTTGTTTATCAACTTTATTCTTTAAAAATAAAGTTCAGTGATCTTTTAATTCAATTATCGCCCGGTTCCCCCGCCTCCCCGGTTTTTTGAACGGGCGTAGAGGTTTATTCATTGCTTCCTGATTAGGACAGGGCTACCGGTTTCTTTTTAAGTCTACTTCTAATGTCTCCACCTAAACCCTGAACAATTATTTACTATTTATTCATTACTCATTATTCATTCATCAAAGTCAGCAGATAGTTTTGCTTATCGTACCGTTCACACTCGTCCCCGAACTTTTGAACAGGAGTAGATCTTTATCTTTTGTTTCCTGTTCAGGATTGGTGTTCTAGTTCCTTCTTTTCATTTCCTTTCGCTCCAAGTCGGCCCCTTGCGTCTTAGTAGCATTATTGCCTTGCTTAGGGTGAATTGGTTAAAATATTATATATTCACCATTATATGCAATAACCTGTTGCCACTTAACAAACAACTCGTTATTACCTTTTGAGTTAAATTCTACAGGTTTTGATGCTAAATTGATTTCGTTGAATCTTTGAATCAGGTTTCATTAGATAAACGTTTCCACATCAAATTGTTTAGCGGCGCTTGAAGAAAATAATAATTGATGCAAGGTCAGGTGAAAATAGTTGGTCGGGCAGAAACAAACCAACCGAGTTCCATTTTTTTGTTGTGTGTTATCCCTGCTGTATATGACCATGCGTTATCATAGAAGAGAACGATATTTTATGGACACATTACTGTATGATAGTACAGAGACCCATGTAGAAGGGAAAGAGGTGGTTTTATCTCAAACTCAAGTGTTTCTGTTTAATGGACCAGCAAATAGTTCCTTTTGAACTTCAGTTTTCTAAACTGCATCCAATTTGACCGAAAAGTAACGCGGAAGTAAAGGGATGGATGATGGTCTTTTTTTTGCGATCAAGCGGCAACGGAACCAAACAGGGTATATCCGTGAGCTGGTCTATATAAACAGTTACGCTTGGGATCGAGGAAAGCTCTGGCCACCTTGTGAGCATGCATCGTGCCTTTTCCCAGGGTGCTGACGATCATGGCTCTCTACAACATTTTATCTTTTATAGCTCTTAGTGACGTTTGTCTTTCCATCATCTCTCTCAGTCATTGTTCTGCCATCCATTTACACAGGCCCCTTAGCTACTTTACTCTGTTTTGTCTTTTCATTTTGTCTTGTGAGTGTATAATTCGCCAAGCCCTCTTTCCTCATTATGTACTCGCGATATTTCAACTTTCTCTTTCTGATTCAAAATGTAAGAGACCTTTAAGACAAAACTCAATTAGGTAGAAACTTCTAACTTCAAACAATTAATATATCCATTGATCTAAAGGGACATTTTTAAGCATATCACCCCAAGCAAGGCGAGAGTGCCACTAGCACGCAATGGGTGAGAGCAAGAGTAACGGGTGGTGTTTCAGGAAAGGATAAAGTGAAGGACGGGGAACAAGATCAAAGCATCAGGTGATGTCGATTGACATTACATTTGAATATTTGAAGATTATAGTTCTCAGAGAAGCAAATAAGAGGAAGGGAGAAAAAACCGTTGGAGTAGAAGAGGCGGTTACATTTAACTGCTTCGACAATGAAAGGGTCGCATCTGCCAAACTAGTAGCACGCTTAAATTCATGTAGTCGGGATACCAGTGAAACTAGGTCGTCAGAGGAGTTACCATGAAAATATTTATAGAAAAGACAGAGGGAAGCCATATCACGTCTATGACAAAGTGACTGGAGTCGAGATGCCAGGTCAGGACCTATCACATTGCATATCCTTCTCTGGATTTTGTCGAGGACCTCGAGATGAACAGCGAAGGCACCAGACCATATATGGCAACTGTATTCAATGCATGGACGAATGGTGGATTTATAGATTTGAAAGATGGACACACACGAGAAAAAACCTTCTGGCGCGACAGAGAAAACCAACTTTCCTTGCGGTAGATGAAGCTATTGATTCAATGTAGTTGTTCCACATCAGGTCAGTGGAAAACGTGAGGCCAAGAAGGCGCAGAGAGACGCTCTAGTGAAGCTAAGCATCAGAAATGCTGATATGAGCCAGGGAGGTTTCTCTATGGTGTGTAAATGGCGAAAGTAAACGAGTACTTCTATTTTTTTTTTAAAAAATTGATTTTATTCAAAGATCTACAGTTATAAAAGAGTAAACAAATTTTTCAAATAAGGGCTATTATAATGTTCTATTTGGATTTGACAAAAGTAAAGAAGGACTTTCTTTTATTTGAAAATATGGCAATACTGATTTGTAAATCTGGAAAAAAGTAAATTGATATTTAAATTATGGATTTTTTTTTTCAATATTCTGCTTAGATTATTAAAAAAAAAGAAGTAAAAATGCAACTCTTACACTCAAAGAAATGACTTTATTGATCTATAGAGACGAAACCAACTTAAACACTTCAACCAACTGAATCTATTTAACGCTCAACAAAGATATAACAAAAGTAAATGGACGAGTCTATTTTCAAACATGAATCTTTAGTCTATGTTCTCCTGGGACAAAATACAATTAAATACGAACTTCAATTTTCAAACAAGAGTCGTTTTTCACTGACAAGAAGTAGAAAGAGTGTACTAAATTAATAACATAGTTCTGCTGCAAGGAATACTGATTGACTGTATTGTGCGTGGCAATTTTGCATATCGTAATTCCCCATGTATAATACGCATAATACGAACCCCTAAAATTGTGCTGAAAGCGTGGAAAAAAGCTTCTGCTCACGCATAATACGCACCGTTTGTTTAGTTATCAAACCCTATAAATTGTATCTCTCCAATTTCATTACAGCCACCGTTTCCTACTCTTATTTTTTAAAAAAATAGTTTTAAACATAGAATAATATTATTATAATTTAGTTTTATGATAATTGAAATTTTATTTTACATTTGTAAGTATTCTTAGGTACATATGATTGTATTTCACATCATTGTGGGGTCGCAATCGCCGAATGTTAGTGTAAAATGGGCGATATGTTAGTGGTGAGTAGTCATTTCGCAACTGAAATCGACCTATTAAACGGCAATTTATAAAAAACTTTTTGTAGCTATGCATAATACGCACCCCTAATTTTGCTTATGTTTTTTTAGAAAAAAATACGTATTATACATTGGAATTACGGTATTTATGAGTCTACTGTTCGTCCGTTTATTATATTTGGCTGTCATATTTTCTCTGGTGTCTCTGATTCTTGACAAAATCTAAATAATAATCTACAACATTATCAGTTCTGACCTGACATCTCGGTTACAGGCACTTTCCCGCCACCGTAATGTAGCCCCCCTGTAACATTTCTATAGATATTTTAATAGTAACTGTTTTGATGATCTTTTTCTCTTTAGTATCTTTTGAATTTAAGCGTAGTGCTAGATTGGCAGCTAGGTCTCATCATTTCTCTTACCGTGAGGTAGGAGGCAGAAGAAAAGCTCTAGTTTCAAAACCAGATGAGCTCGGTCAGGTTTTCTAGCTCTGAGACACACCACTGCTTCTAAGGCTGCTGGACATATGGTGCGCCAACGACTTTTAAGTTGACTCTCTTGAAGGACCCCCATCTAATCAAAGGAAATCTAAGAAATACATGTCCCTTCGTTTCCAATATTTTAACTGTAAAAACCGATTACAAATTCCAGAAACGTTGATCTTGAAAGCAAACAACCATCAATAAAAGTAACGACATGATGACAAATCTGTCATGTGAAAACATGCTAACGCGAAAAGGAGATATTTGATGAAACCGACATAGTACAAAAACAAAAACTCTTTGATTATGGCTTATGAAAGCAATTAGACATTGAAAAATATATGTATAAATATATACAGGAAGAAAATTGTGTGAAATATAAAAAATATAATTTTCATTCATTGAGACATATAAAATGATGTTTTTTTTTATTCAGTATTTTTATAATGTTTTTACAGGTTTATTTTTACTTTATGTAGAAGGGGGGAATGAAGAGGTTGTAGAAACTGTTCGGAGTGATTATTGTCCTAAGCGCTCTCAGCCAATTGATTAGCTATTATCAATGGGTTCATTGTCAGTATATTTCTGTGTACTCTCTCAATGCCTTTTCGGTTGAGTTTTCATTTGAAAGATATGTCTAAAATTTCTTCTAAACATTTGCATCATGCCTGTATACATATATTTTTCAATGTCTAATTGCTTTCATAAGCCATAATCAAAGAGTTTTTGTTTTTGTACTATGTCGGTTTCATCAAATATCTCCTTTTCGCGTTAGCATGTTTTCACATGACAGATTTGTCATCATGTCGTTACTTTTATTGATGGTTGTTTGCGTTCAAGATCAACGTTTCTGGAATTTGTAATCGGTTTTTACAGTTAAAATATTTTTGTGTTAGGATTTTAGTAAGGAGGATCCTGATTACATGTGTTTTGTTGCCGTATTTGTTGGGGATATGCTATTCACTTGAACTGTTACCAGATAATGTTGTGGTTATGTAACCAATATCTTCTTATCATTAGAAAGATATTCTCCAAGTGCAAAAGTGTATTCAAGACGATTGTTGTATCGCTGACGATTATTACGTCATATATATATATATATATATATATATATATATATATATACACTTTCATATATATATATATATACTTTAGAAAAATTCTTGTCGAAAACATATCGATACTTTCTCATGAAAATAATAAACTTAAACTAAAAATCCTTGAAGCTATCTATATTAAAAAAAATACTGAAACCAACCCTTAATAAAATTAATAATGAATACTGCATAAATATTTTAAAATGTTTAGATAGAACAAAATATCAAGATCTATATTAATAACTTCTCAAACAATTTTCTTTCTTTTTAAAAAAACAA